TTTCTTTGCTCGTTCAAAACTTTATTTCTGTTCTTTACACCATTTAAAAGGTATCTCTTTTCTTAATAGTCGATACAGCGGTTCCAATAGATCGCCCTTATTTTGTAAAAATCTATCATAAAATGTAATTAACCCAAGAAAAGCTTGTAGCTGTTGTTTATTTATTGGTTCTAGTACTTGAGCTATTGCCTTCACCTTTTCGTCAGTTGGACGCACTCCTTCTCGGCTTATCTTAAACCCCAAAAATGTTATCTCTTGTACTGCGAAAACACATTTTGATTTTTTAAGCTTCAATCCTGCATCCTGTACGCATTTCAGAGCAGTTCGTGTTCTATCCCACAACTCTTCCAAAGTTGTTCCGCCAATTAGAATGTCGTCTAAATAAATAATCACACCATCTATGTTCTTAAGAACTTCTTCCATTACACGTTGAAAAATACCAGGTGCCGTTGAAATTCCAAACGGTTATCTTGTAACTTCAAAAAGTCCGCGATGTGTGTTTAGTGTAAGTATCCTTGCTGATTCTTGGTCAACCTTCACCTGTGTATACGCTCGATCTAATCCACTTACAATTTGCCAATATTGCTAGTACTTCTACATTAGTAGGTAATGGATATGTTTCCTTGCAATGCATTTGATTCACTGTGCACTTATAATCTCCACAAATGCGTATGCTACCATCTGGTTTAATAATAGGTACAACCGGTGTTACCCACTCACTAAAGGATATTGAACGCAGTACGCCTTCATCTTCCAACTTCTTTAATGCTGCTTCCACCTTGAGTTTTAGTGCAAAAGGCACTTGTCGATATCGAAGAAATTTCGGTTTACAACTGACATTTGTAACTTCACAGGATTTCCTTTGTAATCTCCAAGATTTCCATCAAAAACTGAATTGAAGTTCATCACTTCTACTGGAATAGTTGATTCTATATTGCATAAATTGCTAGTTATAGTAATTCCCAAATCGTTAAACCAATTTCGACCGATTAGAGCCGGACCTTCACCCGCTGCTACTAACAACTTTAGTTTCTTTGTGACGTTCCCAACCGAGACTGGTACTTCTGCTTCTCCACTCAGTTTAAGATTTTTCTCTGTTCCCCAAGTTCTTATTTGTATTTGACTTAGTTTTAGCGGAATATACGGCATTTTTTCTCTAAATAACTTTTCACTTATTATTGAGTAACTTGCCCCCGAATCTATTTCCATTTGTACCGGTGACTTACTTATCGTAATCACTCTCTTGACCGATGGACTACCTTTAGCGAACATTGACCATAAATACTCCGTCGTTTGAGTTTCCTGGTTTGTATCTAAAAGATTTACTCTGTTTGGTCTTCTCACATTATTTGTTGCTGGCTTTTTGGTTTTTGCTTTTTTTATGCAAGCTCTCTCAATATGTCCACGCTTTTTGCAATAATAACATTCCACGTCTTTAAATTTGCACTGATCTGAATGATGATTTCCTCGACAACGATAACAATTCTGAATATGGTCCACTGGAGCACGATTTGGTTTTACCTAGTTGCTTGAAATTTTATTCAACCCTGGCAGACTGGCTGACGTTTTAAGTACCGTCGCATTCTTTTGTGCTGTTTCTGATGCTACAGCTTCCTCCTGCGCTATTTTTAATGTTAACTGGTCATTCGCCAGAAGCCGCTTTTGTAAATTTTCATCGCGCATGCCACAGACTAGTCTGTCTCGTAACATTTCCTCCAAATCATTGAAATTGCAGTCTTGGCTCAATTTCCTTAGCGCTGCCAAATATTCGGTAATTGATTCGTCCTCTTTTGCGTCTGTGATGTCATTTGCAAAAAAGAAAAATTCCATCTGTTCTATGTATGTTTGCCATTTCCCCGACGCCACGTTATATTGACCTAGTTCGCCAAAGTTCTTCGCCATCCTTTAATGTTTTATCTTCGTCGCCAAATTTTATTATATTCTTTATATATAATACAATATACTTTATTGATTAAAGTTATATAGATTTACAATTTAATATTAATAATTCTAATAATCACGGGCCGGCACGCTTACTCCTTTGAGCACAACGACGAAACAACGCATTTTGTATTTTTTCCTTCTTTTTCTATTTCTTTATACAGGGTTGCCATGATCGAATATACTACATATTTTATTTCTGTTTGTATTTGCAAAAGTTTTAAAAATTTGCGTTTCGTTTTGACTAAGAAAACACTGGTTGCCATTCTTATTAAAAATTACTTTCCACTTTTTTCATACTTATTTGTTTTATTATTTATGTGATTTTTGACATTTCAATAATTTTTTTTTATCTTGATTCTTCTTTTTGCTTGAGTTAGTGCTATTACGCACTTTTACGCTATAATGGCTTTAGCTAGGCTAAAAAAAAATCATGTAATTTATTTGTCTTTTAGTTGATGACGGACCTTAAATCAGCATATCTTCCTGAGAGTCCAGAAGTGGACTTGAGGATTGTTAGGGCGGGGTTATTTAGCGTATCAAATTTAGTGATTAATTTTAGAGCTCTGTCTCCGATATATTTTTTCACTGAGTCAATCCTAAGATCTCTATGTATGTCTGTTGATCTAATATACCATGGAATCTTAAACAGTTTTCTTAAAGCCAGGTTTTGAGCTATCTGTAATTGCTTTAAGGTAGTATTTGAGGCGTTGCTATATGTAACACATCCGTACAGTAGTGCAGGTCTAATTACTTGCGTATAAAGTAACTTTCTGTTTTTAAAGTCGAAGTGATAATTATTAAATAGCGGCTTTAATAAATGTAGAATCTTAGAGCAGCTATTCCGTTTGTATTTCAAATGTTTAAGCCAATTGAACCGTTTGTCAAAAGTGACCCCCAGATATTTTATGTTATCCTCCCACTGTATTTCCGTGTCGCAAACACTCACTCTTGGAGGATGCTGTCTTCTTTTTCAAGTTATAAATATAGCCTTGGTTTTGTCATTATTAATTTTAATCTTCCATTTTTGGAAGTATTCCACCATAAGGTCTATATTTCCCTGTAAAGTGTTGCTTACATTTATGGCATCCCGATCCGAGTAGATCAAGCACGTGTCGTCTGCGTAAAGCGCCATTGACGTGGGACATAAGGTGGGGATGTCTGCCGTATATACATTAAACAGTACGACCCTTGAGGTCGGACAATGGCGCCCCTTGAGGTACACCTGCTACTATTGATCAGGCGGACGGAAGAGTGCTGTTAATTTTAGTACGGAAGGACCTTTCTTGCAGGAAGCTACCAATGATTTTAGTCAAACCACTAGGGATCCCAAAACGGGCCAATTTGGCTATTAGACCATCATGCCAGACATTGTCAAAAGCTTTGGCTATGTCAAATATAATCACCCCGGTTGACTCCCGTTTACTTAGAGTGGTTTGTATCAGCTGCGCAGTTCTGGCTAGTTGTAGTTCCGTGGAGAGATTATCCCTAAACCCGAATTGTTCGTCAGGAAGTATATTTAGGACATTCGCCGCTGTTTTAAGCCTAGTCAGGATTACTCGTTCTGCCAATTACCCCATAGTTGGGAGCAGACTGATAGGACGCCAGTTCTGCGGAAATGAAGGATTCTTGTCCGGTTTAGGAAACATTACGACTGAGAATCTGCAAAGGACTCAGCTTTGTATAATTTGTAATAACACTGAAGATGGTCTACAAAGTAGACCGAAATATTTAAAACATAAACATTGAGGACGACACTAATACAAACATTCTAACTTTCAATGTTCATAAAATGCTTTTATATAAAAATATTTCTTAAAGGGATAGAAGCGAAAACATCGTTTTAATGCATGCATGATTTAATTTTTTATATATTTGTTGTTTTTTTCTGGGGCGTATTTTGATGTGTAAAGCATGATATAGACGATGAAACATGTTTGCAAACCAATTATGCAAACCGAGTATGCGCTTTGCTATACACTTTGAAACAAGGTTTGCATACTTCATTTTGATTTATTTTCTACAGCGTTCATATCAACAGCGGAGCAAGTACATAGTGCAAAACAATAATCGAAACTTTTAATGAACCTTACCGCCGAGGTTTCGCTCGCCGAATCCCAGAGTCGTTACAAGAATATTTTTTTGTGACCCTGAATCTCCTCGTAATACAATTAGTTTGGACACTTGATAATTTTTTTATACTTATTTTTTTTTATTGTATATTTTCTTTATTTTACAATATCTTATAATTTATACTTATTTACTAACAAAATTTATTATAGTTACAAATATTCAGTGTTTTTATAATTCCTGATCCGAATACCATTAATTTTTTTTTTATATGTTCTAAAGTGGCATCTTCTTTGTATTTTAGCAATAACTTATTCCAAACTTGCGATTTCAAATATTTATTTTTATACGCGTCACTTTTAACTTCCCACAAATACCGTTCGCTTTTGTATTCTTCAATTAATTCTTTATAAATATTATTATAGGGAAAAGCCATATTAATATTTTATTCACACACAAAATAATTGTTTTTAACACTTTTTTTCCAATTTTACTTTTTTTATTATTTAAAAATTTATCCCGCGTTATTTACACATCCAACACCCACCAAAATTGTCAAATAATAAATCTGTAGATTTCGATATTTCACTTTTTTTATTATTATATAATTTTTTCCCGAGTTTTTTGCACATCCGACGTTCACCGAAATTTTCAAATTATGAGAAATTTGCAAACTTCGATATACACAAGCAAATATGTTTGCACACTTAACAAATAATTGAAAAGTTTTAATTTCACCGCAAACTTGTTGCAGACCGAAATTTGGTTTGCAAACTTGAATATAGACGGTGCAAATTGCTAGCACGCAAACTTTGTTTGCAAACATGTAGCATCGTCTATATCATGCTTAATAGCAAGCGAACACAACGATTGTTGATATGTAATAGGCTTTTTACGCTCGAAGTGAGCGGAGTTTCCGTTCTTTGAAAGGTATTCTTTGGCGTAATGTTATCTTTGATACTATTGTGAACTTTCGTTTTCTATTTGTATAAGATGCAGCATTTATTTTGACTCATATGTTCAAATAATATCCATTAAACTACTTTTGGACAATATTTTTTTATTTTAGAATAATGAAGAGTGGCACATTTCGAAGCACAACATGGGATCCGATTCTACTCATATCACAAATAATTTCAATGCAGTTTGTTGTCTATTTTTCATTAGGAATTTTTGTTTGTATTGCCAACATCTTAGCTGGTGATAACTACACATTGGACAACATATTTGAGTATCACGTTAGTACAAAATTGTTTAAAATTCTGTAAATCTATATTTCAATTGAGAAATTAACGTCGCACAGGAAATTCATATATCTGATATAGGAGGACGATTGGTCATTTGTGCGTTCGTTCTTAATTCACTAGTAGCCTCCTTAGCCTTGTGGTGTATTGTACGCCGTGCTAAATTATGCTTGGATTTTAGGTATGTCAAATTAAATATACTAAAGTAAATTCAATTAAGTAATGTCAATTTTTACAGCTGCACATTCCATGTTTTACATCTTTTGTTTTGTTGGTGGTATAATTCATCATTTCCTTCTAATATATCGTGGTGGCTTTTAAATGCCACCACTACCACATTTATGTGTATAGGTGGAGAATTTTTGTGTTTAAAATCGGAACTGAAAGAAATACCAGTTGGTTACGCAGCATTAAATCAAAAATCGGACGTTTAACGTAGCACTTAAAGTGTTAAAAAGAAATTGGATACTCATGTTGATGTAGCTTTTGCGAAATATTAATACGTAATAGTAATTATAAGATAATTATTTATGTTTCCTACAACTTATATGTATATAGCTTTAATAAATTATTTTGTCGTTAGATATTTTATTTTTTATATTTTTCCACTCACAATAATTCACTGCGAAGATGTAGTAATTAATATTAAAAATTACCAAAATGAAAAGAAATACTCTGTATTAAATTTCCAAATTCATAGATGCTCTTTGACTGCAGAACTTCTGGTTAAAAATATATATCTATCGTTGGCGATATATTTTTTTTGCTCATTTGATACCCTTTTTAACTAAATGGCTAGTAATAAGTAATTTTAAATATATAATACTAGTTATATTTGCTTATAGGTGTTTAAAGTTATTGTCTTAATTTTTTGTTTTGAAATGTTTTATTTTGGTCAATATTAGAGTGTACCTGAACACACTCTATCTACCAGTTTTTTTTATTTTTTGTCTGTTATCGCTCTTTGGTATAGTCTAACTGCAATGTGTTATTGATATAACATAACAGCTCAACTGTCTTTTAGCTTTAAATATTTGATTCATCTATTATAAATTCTAAAGCATACACCGCAAAACCTGCAAAGTGAACGGAATCACTTCAATTTATTGCATCAAACTTTAATGGGATTATATTAGTACTCGTATTAACAAGAGTTCCATGTAACGAAGATATTTTAGAATACATCTGTTTATCATTTGAAACTGAATCCGTTACAAATATATTATTTTGGATATACTGTTAAAAAAAAATTATTTTATTACTTCATTTGTTTAGATTTATTTTTATTACATTTTTTAAAGCTATTATAGTAAACTCTTAATAAAAAAAAATGTTTTAGTTTTTGTATTTATTTTTATTCATAGTTCTTTTCTATGAAGTTGTCAACGTTTAAAATTTTGACTTCTTTTTCAGAGTGGGATGATTGAATAACTGATCTGATCTGGCCAGAATTGAAAATATTAGCTACTTTCTATAGAAAAGAACTATATAAAAAAATTAACATAAAAACTATATGGTTTTTTATTTTAAAAGTTTACGATAATGGCCTATAAATAGTAAATAAATAAAAATAATTTTAATTTCGTGCGTACCATGGGGACCAAAACGACGATTTTTCTGCTATCAAATACGAAATAAAATAAACAAATTTTAATTGCTAAACGTACATTTAATAGCAAAATTCAATTTTAATTTTAGTTGCATTTTTACTATTAGAATTAAAGATATTCTTAAGTAATAAAAATGTTTTATGTTTGGACATAAATCCTTGTAAAGTACTTGTTTCATCATGTTTTTTTTTAATATTTTAAAATTTCAATATGATATTAATGAAAACGTAAAATAATTCTTTCATTTGTTAATTTCTCTTATTATAGATTTTTGTTTTGATTGGATCAAAATATTAAGTTTAGAGTTTAATAAAGATATTACCATTTATTGATTTTTTTTATTTTGTTTTAATTTAATTTAAATTCAATAAAAACATATTTTGTCTGTAAATTCAGTTGCAGCTGTATGTTAATTTCTGAATTTTTACTCTGCTTTCTGTATTTCTATTATTTAATTTTAAAATCTATACATAAATAAAGGATTATATATATATATATATATATATATATATATATATATATATGTGCATATATACTTTTATATATGTATATATATATTTGCTTTTTTGTTTTTTGTAATTTCTGTAATTATTCGGTAAATGTTCCATTCTCGTTATATCCGAATATCGTTGTTTATTTCGGATTAGTATGCAGTACGCCGCTTTGTTTAATTGGCCCACCAATCTGGTCCACTGGAATTATTGGCATGTGCTGAATTGTAGCTGCCACCATAAGAGCCACCACCTCCACCACCGCCTGTGTAATAACCACTTGAGCTTCCTCCTGTAATTGTTAAATTTGAGATAAGAAATCAATGATTTAAATGATTTAAAAATAAATTAAAATGCTTACCATAGGAATTGCCATTACTGCGATATGATCCGCCAGATCCACCGCCTGAACGATTTCCACTGCCACGTGACCCACCGCCACCTCCCGATTGTTGACGGTAATCACGTGAACCAAACCCTCCACCATAGCGTGCACCACCTCCACCGCCACCACCACGGCGCTTATTAGCACCATGTGAGCGTTCGGATGATAGCATATCTTCTAAAAAGGAGGGTACTTCTTGTTTCGTTTCAATTAATAATTCCAAGAGATCGGAACAAATATTACGATTTTTGTCATTGAAAAATGATGTGGCGACGCCGAGATTTCCCATACGTCCAGTACGACCAATACGATGCACGTATTCTTCTACATCAGAAGGTAAATCAAAGTTAATAACGTGTTTAACATGAGGAATGTCAAGACCACGTGCTGCTACAGCTGTAGCCACTAATATTGGACAATCCCCTGAACGGAAGCATCTTAATGCTTCTTCACGTTCTTTTTGTGTACGATCACCGTGAATGCTAGTAACAGGATGATTGCACTGATACAAAAACTCTTCCAATGAATCAGCGCCTTTCTTAGTCTCTACAAAGATTAATGTTAAATTATCCTTGGAATATTCCTGTCCATCACGTATTGATGATAATAAATCAAGTAAATATGAACGTTTATCTGGTTCATAAACCCACAAAATAGTTTGTGTTATATTTTCAGAAGTTGATCCGACTCGTCCAACAGCCAAAAATATATAATTACTAAGAAAATCTGAAGCTAATTCTTGTATTTGTTTTGGGAAAGTTGCAGAGAACATAAGAGTTTGACGCTGTCCAGTTGGGGGCATATTCAATTGTTCCACAATACGTCGTATTTGCGGTTCAAAACCCATATCTAACATGCGATCAGCCTCATCCAATACAAGAAAACGTATGTTGTCTAAACCAACTTTTCCTCTTGTTATCATATCTTCTAAACGACCTGGAGTCGCTACTATTAAATGACACCCACGATCTAGCTCACGCATTTGCTCACTTGTGTTATTACCACCGTAGAGTACAGCAGGACGCATGCGAGAACGATAAGCAAATTTTTTTGCTTCCTCAAATATTTGTGTCGCCAATTCACGAGTAGGCGCCAGCACCAATCCCAACGGATATTGCTTACGACGACTATACTGACGATTGTTTTGTGGTGATGGCGTTATGCCATGCTCATACATCTGATTTAAAATTGGCAGCAAGAAAGCTGCAGTTTTACCTGAACCGGTTTGGGCGCAAGCCATCAAATCACGACCATTTGTAATAATGGGAATCGCATATTTTTGTACCGGTGTCGGTTTATCGTATCTGGCCAGCAGCACATTATTGCGTATAATTTCGGTCAGCTGCACATCATCAAAGGATGTGATATTTGGAGGAACGTTTTGGCCCGTCGCCTCCACGGGTATATCTTCGTATTTGTCGAAATTGATACCGGTATTACCGACACCGAATAGCTCTTGCTCAAGGCGTTCATCTCGAGGTCCCAATTTGGTGAAATCAATATCACCGCGTCGGTCCTCCTTCCAGCGTCCACCACTGCGCTCATTGCGCCCATCTTCTTGACGACGTTCTGGCTCTTTCCAACGGTCATTACGTGGTTGTTCATCGTTTTGTTCATTCTCTCGATTATTACGTCCGCCACGAAAACCTCCATCGTCACGACGGTCGTAATTTCTATTATTTTGTGATCCACGTCCACCACCACCACCACCACCACCACGATTCCAATCTTCACCACCACGCCTAGTATCGTTATCTCCTAAAAATAAATTTTATTATATGCTTTCAATTAGGCATTTTATATTATAACAAAAATTGTTTACCGTTGTAATTATCCTCGTATCTGTTACCCCCACCGCCGCCTCTACGGTTAAAATTACCAAAATCTCCGCTTTGACGATCACGATTATTGAAACGATTTCCGCCACCACCTCTACGATATTCACCACCACGTTGTTCTCTGTTATCAAATTTTCTATCGGAACGGTTATCTAATTCAACTAGAAAAATAAAATATGTAGATTATTTATATTCAGATAGTTAATTCAAAAAAAAAAGATGTTTTATATGATGACTATATTCTTGATGCGAAGAACGGCCGGATCTACGTTCAGGAGCCACTTGTCGTCAGCGACGACCAACCGGCGTTCAACCCGCCCCAAACCTGACCCAGCGGATTACAACAACAAGATACGATCACTAGAAGCTATTTATAATGCAACGAGATTTCATAGACAGATTTGAATAATGTTAGACATATATGGATAGTTAAATCAACATATATTCCACCTATATTATAATAATTTTAAGCAACTGATTGACATTAAAATCGTTGTTATTTATAGTTGTTTGTGCTGCGAAACGCAGACTTGAAAGTAGGTACTTGAGAAATTGACAAAACGCCGCAGAATAGGGTGGGATGGAAAGAAATGATATGGTGTAAGGATATCGAATCTAACCGGAGCCCAGATGAAGGAATCTTGCAACCTTAAAGAGATGAAACCATAAACAAATATGACTCAATATTTGTGTTCTTTTAGGCACTAAAGAGATGAATATCTTTATGTGGAGTAATACAACACTTATAACACATTGAGCATTAACCTCGACTAAGCAGTAACAGTTCTTGTTGCACTATACAATGGCCAGAAATATCACGATGGAATCTCGAGGAATATATTGCTTCAGTATGGAGTTGCGGTGGGAGTTAATGTTATCATGAGTATATCACCCTCTGGGGAAGAAGTGCATACACTCCACATGAGGCCATTTTGATAAACTATATGGCACAAATCAGTTTTGAATACAATAACTGATATGGGCAGACTCACGTATAGATTGAAAAGTATCGGTGGAGAAACATTTTTCTCCGGAGCTACTTGCTTTAATTTCCTTATTTTCCCTAAAATTCCTTGTCTCCCTAAAATCAAAAAAACAAACAATTTTCTAAATACAAAATATTTACAAATGCATAATTTTTTCGAGTCCGGTCGTTAAACAAAACTGTACAGGAACTATCTGTCTTCATGAACGACCTAATGCCGCCAGAAACAACAAAGTCAGAAAAAAACGTATTCTCTTTCACATTATTTTATTTGATATTGCGGTTGGGACGACATTTAGAAGACTCATTACGGTGAGTATTGATTTTAAAATTTATAATAAAGGTAACAAACTTCATAGATTAGTTGCTGCCGTGTCATATATTGTGTGAATATAGATTTCGCTATTTATTATTTTATACTTTCGTGATTGAAATATTAAGTTTTCTATTTCAAAGTTCATATAAACATGCGTCTTTAATAAATTTAATTAGTTTAATAATATTTATAAAATAATAACAGTAATCCTTATAGACAATAATATATTATATAATACATAACTACACACCTACAACTTAGAGAGACAATAGAATACATAAATCAACTAAACCAGCTCCAAAGAAGGTTCAAATTTTGCAAAAAGCACAACTTTTTAATTAATATCAATGCTGATTACTATACAGTATTACTGAATAATTTTAGCAAAAAATAAATTTTCTTCCATGGATTCGCATGGGTTTTAATCCAAGTATTTCGAATATTTCGAATATTTCGAATATTTCAACCTGAAGAGAAATCCAAAATTATGAGAGAAAATATATTTACCTTATCTTAAAAATTTTATAAAATCATAATATTCAGACAAATCCACAATCCTGTGAGTTTATTTATTTTATGTTACAAAACATCGGTCGCGTTTTGTATCAATTCTAAAATACGAATGAATTTTATGTATTCCATTAAAAATAGAACACATCCAGTTTAGATAACTCTAACTTGATGGTTACACACCCACGAAATTTTTTCTCAAGGATATTTTTGTGTTCTCAAAAAAACATACTTAAATCAAGCACTGCTTTTAGTTGAAATTGTAACAAATATTATCTATATTATGTTTAATTTTTTAATTTAGGAGAGGAGGAGAATCAACTTTAACTTATATGTAACAAAATGATAAGAACATTTTTAAAATATTTTAGATAACATTTAACAGGTACTGTACATTAATCTATTAATTAATTGACATAAAATAATAATAATTATTTAGTTTTTTTTTTAGCAATATTACCTCCTTCCCTCAAATGCGGAGGAATATAAACTCCTGAAGCTAAATTAGATGAACTTTTGTTAGTTATGGGGCTGCTATTATTAGCTTTGCCGCCATTCAAGTCCAGACCAGCAACCTGAAAAACAAAGTAAATTGTTTATTATTTGTATTAAATAATAAATAAATTAATAACAATAAGAATTTAAATTAAAACATTAAAAAACAAAACATAAAAAAATTAAAAAATTTTATACAATAACAAATATATATAAATACATAATTATATATACATATATCTTTGTTATTGTTAAATGGTTAGAAATCGCAAACAATGGCAGCACAATATTTATCAAATTACAACTTTATCTCCTATTGTTTACAAAGAAAAACATAGTTTCGCTGTTACACAAGACGCAAGAGTATAGTTCACAAATATACTTACTTGTATAAGTATATACTCATTTAGTGTAATTGATCAGCATCTGTACTAATATAATATAAATAAAATAATACGAACTTTATGTAATATAGTGTGCTTCCCCTAAATTTGTTATCAAATAGATATTGATTTTAATCAATTTTAACAGACTATACAGAAAATAAATTATAGTTTATATATAAAGTACATGTAGAATGGCACATCTAGTACTACATAGGGATGTCTGTTGTCGTAGTGTAAAGTAAAGGAGATCCAAAAAGAGAGATTTTTGTCAATTAATCATAATGGTACTAAGGAAGATTGACGAACAGTTCACAGATCGATTCTTTGTTATTATTACAACAAAGCGGAATATATATACAAAATATTTTAAATCGGAATATAAAGTACGTACATTTTGTTTAGTTTTGAAAGTACTTCTCTCTTTTTCATACAAAATTCCATGTATAAGCAACAGTTATTAAAAAGAATGACTAATGACACTCAGCACAATATACTGTTATGCAGGAAAAACAATTTATTTAAATATATAAAATACACGTGGTTATAGCTATTTTTAAAAATTTAATCGCTACTTCAATAGCCGTCAATACTTAATTTTTTGTAGAAATGTTAGCATTCCTGAATAATTAATTCAATTTATCAATTAAAATTATAATATCCGATATATGTAATATATATAAATATGACACTTCGATCATTACATTTGTTATCACAACTTTTCTCAATTATTACTCAGTGTAATAACCACTCAATTCGAATTAAGAATTCAAGAATCGGCATGAAGCTGAAATATATATACCATAGCAGAGACAAAAAGAAAATTACTCAATGCATGCAAAATTGTTTGTATGTAGTAGTTACGAAATCAATATATATAAAACATTATTATTCTATATCAAATTTGTTAAATTTATATTATTTTAATTACCTGCTGCTCTAGACCTGTTCCATTTTGGTTAATAGCATTACTCATATTACCCTCCAATCAGTTGCAGTTTTTTTCTTTCTTTCCGTTTAGGAAAATCTTTACGCACACACTTTTGCTTTATACAATAGTAATGAAATTTTCGTCCAAAAATATGATTATCAAAATATAAAATTTATTAAAAATACACTTATATAATTTCTAAAATAGTTTTTTTAACACTAAAGTATTTTTAGAGTTTATAATGTTTTTTGTTTTTCTAAATTTATTAGAAATTATACACACTATATGATCTTGAATTATAGACACGAGCGTTTCTTATCCCGTCCGTAAAAAGAAAAAAAAATATGTGAAAATGGTGGTCGGCTAAGAGTGATGCCAGTATATTGCAATTTTTGTCGTAGAGTTATTGACAATTTAGTTGAAGTGTAGAGTTTTATTGAATTGAGCTATGTTTCTACAAATCATTTGTTTTTTGTAATGATTCACAATCATTGATAACCATGAAACAGTCACAAGTAACAAAATATTTATTATTTCAAATCATAATCGCTGTTCTTAATGTGAAACACTTAACTTGTAACACATGTATTATTGAATCGATGGTTTTTTTTGCGGGATTTTTTAGTGGCAGCTGTACATGTTTTGGTGTTAATTGTACTGGAAAAATATGAACTAACTAACTAATATGTAACATAAACTTAAAACTACATATCAAACTATTTTAATATTCAAGCAATTTTTAAAATAAAAACACAATTGATTATAACATAAATGTTTATATGATAATAACAATTTTCTATAAATTCTACTTTATTTTGTCAATCCGACCACAAAAATGAATGTGTGTCCGAAAAAATCGTTTTTTATGTTTAAAGTTATATATATATATTTTCTGGGATATATAATATATGTCACATCTCCAAAAAGTAGAACGTGTTAGGTGTGTTAGTTAATATTGATTTTTTTTTTTCAAATTATTTTATTACTAAAAAAATATCTATCAACGTATAAGCATTATTCACTACTATTAAAAATTTGTTAAAATATGTTATAAAATGTTTAGAAATTCATAACTTGTATCATAATTCCTTGTAGAGAAGATTTAATTAGAAATTAAACTAAAATGGTTTCTAACATAGGTACAAATTAAAAAATGTTTATTTAAACCATTTATAATATTTTGAAAGTAGTTGAGCTAAGAAAATAGTTGCTCTTTATCAACTCAAGTTATATAACGCTGCGAGTTATTTTGTATTCAGTGTTTAGGGGTGGATATACTATGAAATATTAAATAAACAGGTTGTTTTTCAAACTATTAAGATTTTAATGTGCCAACAAAATAGTAAAAACTGCACAGCTGAATATTTTCAATTAACTGCAAAACAACATAGCTTTTTTTCTATCACACGGAAAGGCATAAAATCATTACAACTGCATATATAAAAAAAATTAAAATATATAAAAGTAAGAGGTGCATATAGTTTATTTAACTTGTCTGTTGTTGTCACTAAAGCTCCTATATTATCAGTTTATTATTTACTCTTACTCTCCACTATTGGAGTGGAGTGGAGTATATATACTCTCCATTTTTGCGTCATATTTTAAAAGTAAAACTTTTATCCGTTTTATCCGTATACTATGTTGGTATACTATATTGTATCTAATTATCTAATATATCATATGATATATATTTTTGTTTAGTTTTGATTTGTAATTTTCAAATATTTTTAATTTTCAAACATAAAATTACGCATAAATACTAGCTGACAAATCTTTCAGTTTTATGTTACGACATATATACCACGCCATATTACTTGAGCATAGCAGAATAAGAAAATATGGCAACACCTAACCAGTCATTATGTGATATTAACATGGATTTAGTGATGGCAATACATAATTTGAAATTAATTGAGGCATGGAATAAGGATTGCGTTGCCATTAATTAGCCTGCACATCGCGATCCAAGTAAATTCGTGTGTAAAAAAAGAAAAATGAAATAAATGGTGTGTATTATTTGCTAAAAGCCCATGACTTAGACACTTAGAACATCATTTAAAAAGTATAATATATTGTTTACTTATAATGAAATTATAACTCGTCATACTTTCGAATTTGCAATCTTTTCAAGTCGAAAATTGTGTTAAAAATTATAACGCAACTAAAAGCAATAAATTTTAATTTTAATTAAGTTAACAGCAGCAAAAAGAAAAGCTAAAATCATGGTTGATTTTAATCAATTGTATTTAAAATCCGGTTAACCAAATATTGTTTTCATTCAATTAAGTTTTAGTCGACGCATCTCCAATTATCTAAATTAATCTTTAGTTGACGAATCTCTAATTCTCTAAATTAATCTTTGATTCTGTTAACCGACTGTTTTTTTTTCGGTTAAGCAATGATTTCATGGTAATTTGCAGATTTTATTTAATTAAATTTGAACTTTTACTAACTTCTTACAGATTAGAAATTAAAATAATAATTTCATAAAGGAAACTATTTTTCTTTAAAATGTAATTCTAAATAATAATATAAATTGAGTAATACACAATATAATACAACAAATAAATAAACTTAAATTTATTTTTAGTTGAAATTAATATATTAATCAATAATAATATGCTCAATTAAAATTTGAATTCAAATTTCATTATATAATTAAAGTATATAATTAAAATATGAAATATCTTTAAATCCTACTTTTTTCTGTACATGTACACTATATTCAATAATAAAGTCCACCATTTTTCTCTTTATGCAATTATGTACCAATTCTAAATTAAAGGCTCTTTAAATTATTTATTATATAATTAGTTTAATTTATGAAATATCTTTGAGTTTACCTTTTAAAACAAAATAAAAAGACATTATATATCTTATATATATTTTATAGATATCGTTGGTTGACCGAACGAATGAAAAAATAATGAATGTCGTATTGTATAAGCAAAGATTCTTAACCAGTGCTTAAGAATCTTCGATTAACTAAACAATGATTTCCGATGTTTATTTTGCTTTGACAAATCATTATCATTTTGTCATTTTGACAAATCAAAAATTAAAACTGACAACAGGCCAGACACTTAAGATAACCCTATTTATACAATAAATTAAGTACTTAATTGAACTATTTTTACGTTATTCGTAATACAATGTAACATACCTTAAAGCTTCAAAAATGTCAAAAAAGATAAGTGTCGTATGAGTACTTTATATATTATGTCGTGTTTTGTAATGGTTTTATATATATGTGCACTATTTTCACACTTCCCATCCTTTTAGCGTAATTTTGTGAAAATGAAACAATAGCTGCGTTTCAGCAAACATGATCCGCTCAATTTTACATGCAAAACAAAAACAATGGGGTGAACCAGCAATTGATCTGGTTCATATGGCGTTTACATTGGCCGAAAATGGCTCATTTTGGTCAAAAATCGAAAATGAGTAGCGAATGGCTCATTCTTGCATATAAAATTTCAAGCGCGAAAATGAGCAATTTTCTCACATTCTGTATGAAAGACGTTCGAATGCATTCCACATATGTTCCAAATGCAAGGGAATCCATTGAACATACCCTAAATAAAAGCTTTTCATGGCATTTTCACAGTTTGAGAAAGCTGTTTTTGACATATTTACAAAAAAAGGTAAACAAATGTTTGGTGGTTGCATTTTCTTGAAAACGATGCACCTCTTTTTAGAACTTCTACTTCCCAAAAGGTAATTAATCGAAGTTAAAAATATGTTTTAAGTTTATATTGTAAGGTTTGAAAGCATATTTAATCTTCATGCAATATTTTTTTGGCACAGGCCAAAATCAAATCAACAAGCAAGTTGAAAAATCAGCTGTTTGAAATGAGAACAAACGAATTACAACGAATGTAAACACTTTCAAATGGCTCATTCAAAATGAGCCATTTTCGGCCAATGTAAACGCCATATCACTTTCTGGTTCAATGTGGAATGTATGTAAAAGATAAAAGTAGAACGTATTTTAATCCAAATGAGGTTGGCAATGCGATGCAACGGTGTAGTAAAATTATAAATAAATCTATATTTGTATTTATTTATTATTGATTTTATTTATTTATTATTTATTTTATGTACTTAATTATTTAATATGTCATTATTATTTATTTCTTTGTTTGAAGTAGTGTTTTAATTATTACTAATACTATAAATTAAAATTATTAAAATTAATTAAAATTATTACTTTAATTATTTACGTTTTATTATTATTAAAAAAGTGTTGCTTGATAATTTATGAAAATCAATTAATTTGAAATGAATATATAAACATTAAGTTGAATACATTTATTTAATTAAAACAGAACAATACATAAGGAAACAGGCTCTCCAACATACACGTTTATAAAAAAACCATTGCAAACTGCTTGCAAGTTTAAGCTATATTCATGCTTCCTTTTGAAATAAGCCTAATTGCTATGGTGAGGTGCATTTATTTTAACATGTGTGCTGTCTATGCAACCAATTACGAACGGGAATTTTTTCGAAGCTTTTACTTTTACATTATTAGCAAGTGCATATTTTATAAATTAGTGTCCAATTGATATAAGCTAAACACTAGTTCTTTCAATTATTCTCCATACAGAAGTTTTTGTTATGCCAAAACAAATACCAAATTAGCAAAAAGTATTCATATTCATATAAATATATAAAATTCTTTCATTGCAGCTAATGATAATAATTGTCAATCACATTAATGTGGTTTTACGCAATGACTAATAAACATAAAAATATATTTCTTTATACGTTTTATTTAAGCTCTTTTCTCAAAAACGTTTTTTAATACAACCTTGCAACGTAACATGTAGTGTGTGTAGAATTTAGACACGTAAAATTTTAAAGACAATATTATATTTCGTCGAAACTTTATTTTTCACATCATAAACAGGTTGTCGAGTAATATATATTATTTGGTAATTTTTTATTGTAATTTTTAAGTAGTAAAAATGTCAATAAAAACTGAAAAAATTGAATGCACTGATGATAACGATGATTGGGATGATTGGGGTGACGCAGAAGACAACTTTCCTGTTGAAAAGGATTCTCAAAGTGAAAAAGCAGCAAATTTTAATAATAATATAGGAAATATATCGGAACAAACAAAAACTCAACTAAATCAGCAGTTAACAAATGACGATATAAATTATAACAAAAATGAAAAAGAATTCATAAACAAAACAGAAACAAAAACAAACTCTTGGAACGTATGGAAAGTTTTGTCAACAGCGACGGAAGGTATAGGTAATATAACAACGTCCGTTACACAAGGACTAAATCAAGTGATAGGAGTACCTGATCCAGAAGAATTAGCACGAATTAATGCATGTGAAGGGAATAAAGTCAACAATACATATCATGATGACAATCCCAGTAAAGAAATTAAAACTACAGAATCTCTGCAAGAGAATCGTCAGCCTAATCAAGGAATGCCAATTTTCGGTTTAAGTTTAGTAAATGGTGTGACAACATTGGGATCAAAAGTAATCAACACTGGTTTAGACACATTAGAAGGTATTGGAAAGAAAACAATGAATATGTTGCAAGAAAATGATCCGTTGCTCATGAACAAACGCAAGATGTTAGGATTGGAGCCGGATAGACCGAACCTTAGTGAAGTAATAAGTTTTTTATTGTTTCTTTTTTAAACAGCTAATGTAAAGTTTTCTTATTTGTAGGTGTTGAAGGAAGCTAAAAAAGATGCAGATCAACTTGAAAATCAATTGAAAGAATTAAACATTGAAAAATCGAAAGACCTGCTACGTTTTGATGTGATTTTCGAAAATAAGTGTGGCCTAGTGCACTTTGAAGCTTTGGAAATTTTATCAAAAGAGTCTAATATTAAAATACTTAATCTTTTATCATCAGTTAGCGGCAATGCTCTAACAGAACTGAAAGAAACAATAGATGAAGTAAAAGAACTTTTAGACCTGGAAGATTTGGAAGGTGAAAGTGATGGAAAGTACAGTATGGATGAGCTTAATGTGAAGTTATCATCAGCTATCGAAGATGCTGATTTAAATATAAAATTTAATGATATTAGCAGGTATAATAAATGTAATTTAAAAAAATTAAAATACTTAAAATTTTTTCTTCGAAAGTCTTTGGGCTAAAACAATTGATTGGCTGGAAAATGTTACTGAATTTGATGAAAATGAAATATTTAGTTTTGGGTTGAATGCGCTTTCCGAAACATGTGCCTTAGAGATGACTAAGCTACATAAAATTGGTGAATGTTTGTTAATAAAAGAACACCATAGCACCGCTAGCGAAGTTGATGCAATTGTACAAATATGCAAGCAGTTTAACGTACATTTAAATGGTCTCACAAATCGTTATGCAGCAGCGCTGACTGCTAAGGAAAATATCAATGTTACCAAACCACTCATTACGACTCTATTTGCGGAGATGATAACAGCGACTACACATATCGAAAATGCGTTTAAACTATTTCTACCAATATTACAAATCGGTGCTGCTTAAATGTAGTCTTTCTACACTTCTATATTATTATATGCTTTATAACTAATTAACAAATATTGTAAAATGTTATACATGTGAAAAAATAAAGATATATATTGGAAAAAATTTTAACTTATAATAACTGTCTTAAAAAACAGTTGAAATAACAAATGGTAATTTCCTGCGTTGGCCTCTGATTGATACATTTTATGACAATGAAATCTATTAGCTCGCAAAAATATATTGTTGCTAGTTAATTTAAAAATTGTATCTATCATATATATGTGTTACGATATATGTGTATATATGAAGGGAATTTGATATAACTTTAAAACGAAAAACAATAAATTTGCTTATTAAATGTTTTATTTATAAAACGAGTTTAGATAAACAACAATAGTTTTTACAATTTAAAACATTGATTTATATTTTTTTTTATACAAATGTACTTAATTATATATAAATATTAATATATATATAAGGAAGAACATTAAATAGAATAGGTCTGCTCAACTAAATTTACTACAATTTTATTTACGAATTATTGAAATTAGTTAGAGAAATTGTCGGTTTTCTCTGGTTTTTATTTATACATATAAAAAAAAATTAAAGCATATTCAATGAGAGAATTAATACACTGTACTATATAACATAACAGTTTTCACATTCCTCACATAATACATTATACATTGTAGAAGTACATTTGCTTGAATGGAGACTTTCTCCTTAACTTATTATTTTTGATATATTTACAACTTTAACATGAATTATTGATATTACAATATTTAATATTAATGCATTTTTAGTCATATTTAAATATATCATTCAGAGTTATTCATAATTTGTATTGATATTAAAATTTATTAGTTTCTTAATGTATTTCGAATTAAAAATCAAAATTCTGAAGAAAACAAATTTTGCATATAAACATTAATGTTAAATGTACTTAATTTTCATATAGTGGTATTCGTGCATACATAGTTCGAATTAATTTCTTAGTACTATTTATTTATTTTATGTATCTCTTACAAAGAATTACGGTTCATGATTAGCAGGGTTCCTTAAAATCTGAGTTCAGGTTTAAACTTCATCATATATCTGTAAGTGCACAGAAATTAATACATAAATCTTAACAATTCATTTAAATTAAAAATATTTACTTATCAAGTGTTTCCCAAAATGTCATTAATACAGCACGATCTAAGTGTCTTCGAGTCTGTGATAAATTTAACAATGTTACCGACCATTTAGCAACATTTCCATCCAATTTCAATTCACTAAACCGCAAATGAAATGCACAAACTTTCAAAGAGAAAATTTAGTTTATAAAAATAAATTCCTTTATTTTTCAATTGAATAAGAACTTACTTTTTGAAAATATTTCAACGGGATTACTGTCCCAAGGCCAACCTTTAAACTGCCAAGCCGGACCCATAACAAACACAGCCACTACGCGCTGCCAATCTTGAGCGGTTAATTTTTGCGGATTGTCGATTACACGATACGGTACAGTCATATTATTCTTTTTTCTCTAAATTTAAAATAAAAGCATTTTAATATATGGTAATTATCTAACGTAATAATAACTATTTATATAATTTACCTGTAATAATAATTCATTATCTCGTACACAACCTTGCCGCTTTTTATCATCTGTAGATACAAATTTTAAATCCTGCAATATATCCTTCGCATTATACATTGTTATTAGACTAGTATTAGCGGATGGTATTATTATTATAGGTGTTCGGGAAGTGCGTTTTTGTACATTTTGTGCTACTTGTCGCACTTGATTTACAGGAATAATTTCTTTATTTTTTCCTAAAAAAATGTATGGGTATTTTAATTATTTAAATGTTTGTGTGTGTCTACTTACCTGTTTGTGGAGTAACATTTGCCTTACGTTGCACCGATCCTTCAGTTACAGATTTAAGTGACATACCATGATAAGTACCAAGTGTGTCGATTTTAAAGCCCTCGGTTTCTAAATAGAATGTGTGTGTGCTACTATCATTTATACCAACATAATAGTTATTAACAAACCTTCTTTCTGACGTGCAAATCTTTCCTGATCGTAACGGTTATATTGTGTTAGTTGTGGTTTTGTATTCACAGGCCGTGCTGGCTCTGGTAGTTTTATTGGGTTTTGTGTTATTGGACGGTTTCGCCCTTCTTCACGAGCTTTGATTCCTTGCAATAAGGCGAATATATTTTTAGCAAATAATTTACCAGAACTTTGAAGTATAGTAGTACGTGTTCGCCATTGACGTTCCTTGCTTATTATGTCCTTTGTAGAGTCTACATCGAAATCCAATATAGCACGCATTTCAGTCGCCATAACATCTTCATTATCAGTACGTTTAATTGTTGTACGCTTATTAGCTAAACGTTTAGCTTTAATAGCCGCAATTTTCTCCACTGACATGGTCTCTGACAGAGATTTAATGTTGTCAATATTGACAGTTGTTTCCTTTTTATTAACATCCCAACGGGCTGCAAGCTGCTCACGCACTTTTTGTACTTGTAACTCTTCGAAACGTGCTTTTTTAGCAACATTCTCACTAGTGGCACTTTCCCCTTCTGCTGGTCGTTTGACTTGTGTTGGAATTTCAAGCGGTGCACTTTTGTCAATACTTGCACATGTTTGTGTTTCACCATTCAAATAAGCTAGAAGCTCCTTACGATCTGGACGATTAACAGCCGGTATGTCTTCAGCCTAAGAAGCATCAAACTTATGACTATTCTTTCTATTTTCGTTCAATATTAAATTTTTTTATTTCTTACCGCACACTGGCGTACATACACCGAGTGCTGAAGAGTTACATTTTTCAGTAAATATAACAAACATTCCAATGTGTAGTATTCACGTGGAGCACCTTTTTTACCCGACCTGTATCATAAGTGATTAATATTGCACAAACATAAAACATTAAACTCAAATTATGTAAAACACATTTATCTCACCCATATTTTAAATAATTTGTTTTCACATTTTTTGGCCATGAAAATTCGCCAAAAATAATTTGATTATCTCGCTCAATAATATCTTTTTTGTTTATGTTGTATTGACGTAACAAACTCAGCGGATCCGCCATTTTTACAAACTAAATATATTTTCTACAAATTCTAGATGCACTATTTTGCAAATATTTTTATATTTTAATATTATCACACTTGATGTTTAATATTACACGAATTACGTTTTAAACGCATACGTTAAACTTGGATTTTACTAATTATTTTTATTTCAGAATTGTGATGTTGCCACAACACCTGGTCCGTTGTTTAAAATTGCAATGTTGCCATACATGTGAATAAAAAATTCCGTAACGTAACTGATACACTGAAAAATAAAAACATAAATCAATACAACATAACTGAGAACCATCACGACTTTCAAACAATTTTAAAACATAAATAGGTTTCCTGTAATAACACAATAAAAAAAATATGTGTGAAAATTTATGAGAACTTGCATACCTTCTCAATAATTCGAAATTAATTTTCAATCCATTTGTAGATCTACTACTGCTATTAGAACTTATTTATAGAGATTAGTTATGATATTTCTATGGCGATAAAACGAAATGTATTTTTCAAATCAATTCTTATAAAAATAATTATTAATAATTAAAACTCATAATTTGACATTGGAATATTATATTTAAATATTGCCTACTATATCATTTGTGCTATTGCAAAATCCACAAAATCTTGTATATTTTATATTTTGTTTCAATATAAGTAGTTTTGGTGTTTTAGCGTGGATAATCGTTTTCGATTAGTTAGTCTCCATTGATTTTTTAGGAACAAACTATTATAAGACATTTTAGGTGGCCCCCAAGTGTGGTAAAAAATAGCAAGTAGCAGGTCTATACTGGTGGAAATGTACACAAAACAACAACACTAGACCTTTTCTTTTATAAGCATATCACAAAAGAACAAACGCTTATTTCAAAAATAACATATGAAACAACAACACTGCTGACTTATTTAGTCCAACCTTTTTAAAATTGCTTAATTAATAAGCAGCTCAAATCACATGGTTGCCAACACTAAAAATTCGTATATTGTGAACGATTGTTGGAAGTACATACGAAATTTCCAGTCATGTGTGAACGAATGATTTCATTAATTATTCGTATTTCGTGTCCCCATTGTTGGTAACAAATATGTTATTTTTTCTGTTTATTATTTTACTATTAAAAGGCATTTAAATTCGTATTTTATTCACAATCACGTAAAAAAAATATTCTTACCAATAATTGTAAAGATTTATTATTCATTTTTGAAATTTTAACTTTAAATTTTATTATGTGTTTTGCACATAAAAGCATAACAAAATCTCCATTTTGTACATAGTTGCTATCGAAAGTAGTGCTTATTTTATTTGTTCTTTTGCGACATGCTTACAAAGGAAAAGGCATAATGGTACCAATTAGGTGTTACTTAGTTTTTATCTAATTTACCCTACTAAAAATTATGGTAAATACCATACCGACATAAGTTACTATTACCTCCAATTTACTCGAACTCGCACACGGCCTGAATATTTGACTCTTGTTTGTTTAATTTTTTTGTTTGTTTTGTTTGATTAAAAATAAGATATATGTTAATAGGCCGTTTATAATGTAGTATTTACAAGTAGACGGCAGAACGCAGAAAAAGTTAATACTTGTAATAGAGCACACACAACACATAGTATAATAAAAACATAATAGGGATATTCAGGCAACTGATTAGTTGCTTAGTTGATTCAAAAACTTCATATGAAAAAAAATTTAGCATATTGATGTTAATCAGTTGCTTGAACTACCCAAAATGCATAATCTGATTAGTTTGTTGTGTGTATATGCCTTGGCAGCACTCGCATCAACAGCAAAAGTAAAACATACTTGTGTTTGCAAAATTGTTTACACACAATTTAAACAGCTGAGAGAGACACCCAACAAATTTCTATACTAAAGTTCATTTTAAGTTATTATTACGACACTTGGTACTGGCAGCACTATTAATCAAATTTGTACTAATCTGAGAATCACCGAAATAGTTGATTCTCTGCTTAGTTTCATTTTTGTTTGCAAATTTTTGTAGTAATCAACTACTAAGCAACTAATCAGTTGCCTGAATACCCCTAATATAACTATAATCCGGTCATTAAACAGCGGGTACGTAAAGAAATAATAAATTGCTTAGTGTTTAAATTGGTTAGTGCTTATATCAGGTGATGTAATATATTTTTTACATTTATGAAAAAAAAACAAATGTTAGATAATCCTATATATATGATTTCATCCCTAAAACTTTAAACGAAAAAACTTATGGCGCTTTTATAAAATATTTCGAACTTTTTTTGCTTTTGCAACACTAGACCCACTTTTGAGTCATGTGTCAGCTTGTTGTTTTTTTTTATTAAATAGTTAAACAATTTAGGAAAATGACTATTTTAAATTATACAGTGAGAACAATGAAAAAATAAAAGTATGTAATATTATTAGCAATGGGGCAATCGGCAGGAAAAATCTGTAAGTTTTTAAGCTTAAACACAAAGTTGTAAGCATGTTCCGGAATGTGTGCAATAAAAACAAAAATAGGAAAAAAATTCAATAAGTTGACTTTCTATATTGAATAATAATATATTTTATTTATATGTGTAAAGGATTTTAAATTTCTTTAATAAATAAAGTTTATTAATCTTAAAAAATATATATATATATATATTTTTTTTTTTAATTATGCAAGTAAGATATAAAAAGTATGTAATTTTTACTAATGCACCGGCTTACTTCATTTAAGTGAAAAGGCCGATTGAAATATTTGTGAACGCCATGGTATCTTAATATAAGTGAAATATTTATAACAAGTTACCCGTTGTCTCTTAATAGGATTTATATAAGCCATGCTTGACGGCGAAATAAGTTAAAGACAATAATTGTTAAATAATTAACTACATGTAGAACATGTAGTTAACGATATATGTCAATAATCAAATATGTAGATGCAAGCTTGTATTAATGACATCAAACATATTGTTTTTTATAAATTGATATAATAATAATGCTTCATTTCTAGGTTTATTTATTCAACATACATACATATTTGTATATACTTATTTATATAGATTCGTTAAAAATGGAATACCAACTTTTTAATTAAACATACGAGTAAAATGTATTAAACTAAAATTTCTTTGAAAGTAGCATATAAGTTCAGCATATAAACTACTAATTTTAATTTAATTTAATTTTAATAAGTTTAATAATTGTTTCTTTTAAAGCTGAAACAAATGTAAATGTAAATGTAATTAAAACTCAACGCATCTGAGTTATTTGAATATTTCTATAAATATCCTAAGAACAGAGAAGTGAACAGATTGTGTAACCACTTAAAATAGATCATATAATAAGAGTATGTATATATTATATACAATACGATCGAAATGAATTCGTACATAATTCTTTTCGTGTACCTGAGCATGTTGTAAAGATAAAGTGTGGTTAATATCAAAAATTTCTCTACACATTTGCAGTAACAGTTGTGCAAAGGATCCGAAATGTGTGTACGCAAGCACACTGCAGCACTATGCATATAAATTTAGACAAAAAATCCAAGGAAACGCTATCTAAATAACAATCGAATGAAGTTTCGAAGAGCAATGCACACACAATTTTAAAACACATGTGGCATTTAAAATGGAAAACCTAACGGCCTTCTAAAAACCCAAAGGATACGATTACATATCTGTAGAATTCCCCCACCTTGAATGAGCAAATAATTTCATTTTTTTGCATATGAAACACACATGTTTATCTCTGCCCTGTGTCCTGTGAGTAAACAGTATATTATACTATTTTTAAAATAGTACTACAAGCACTGTAAGATTCTCTTACCTTAACTTTAATGCGAAGATATCATTGTCAGAAGTACTACAAGAATCTCTTACTTTACCTTTATTATTACCTTTTCATACATGCTTTACGAAGCATGTATGAAAGTTTTATTGCTAATCAAATTGAAATATGTAAGCAATTAAAATAAAATAATTTTCCTCACTCAATTTTTTTATATTATATTTTATTTTGCACTAGCTGCTATTTTCGCTTCAGTTGATAGAATTGTCAATGGAGATAGTCTCTCATGGCTCATCCTACTTCTCAATTAGGTCTTAATCCATTTCAACTTTGGGGAATTCCGTTCAGTAGATGCTATACTGACTGGCACTGTGAGCATGATTCTAATTACTTTATAAACATTTGTATATAGTTCCTTTAAATTATTTTCTTTAATATATTTTCTTTGATTGAGTATAGTGAGTTTGATTTTAAAAGCAGCAGCTCTTCATACAGTTCAATAGGCCGATTTATACCTAAAGCATTACAATGCATGAGAATGTCTTCCTTTGGTATACTTTTCATATGATTAATGTCATATATGAATCTATATTGTTTAAAATATCCATTAACTGCTTTGAATCGAAATTCGGTAACTATTTGCGAGGCTCCTGAAGGTGCGAGGCCGTCGCCGTCGGGGATTCTTAGCATCCTCTTTTTGCCGGAGTCTGAGGGCCGTTGATATCTTGTATCTTCCATATGATTTTTTGTGGGATGATAACTTCAGTGGTTCCCCGTTGCCTTTTGAATGGTTTAAAGTTTTCCGTCTTATTCTCAACCGCCCGTAACGTAGGGAAAATACGTTGTTTGCAGCCGCCAAAATGTTTGGAACAGATGCTGCGTTTTGACTTACGAATGGATATGGGCGTTTCCTCCACGTATTCTTCAACAATTAAGGTTTTACCACACCCATACTCGCGTTGTTTCTTTTATCGCCTCTTATGTGGAGGTGAACGATCCTGTAGTGCTATTCTATCCCGGCACTAAACGGGATATAAATTTGTTAAGTGAATTTATATTTAACAATGCTTTTGTATTGTTTTATAATACAAAAACATTACATTTACTAATATAGTTCTACAAAACTCCTTTTTTTGTGTATATATATAACAACTTTTCCCGAGTAAATGAAAATTCTAAGAGTTTTCGGTAATATAATCCTTTAGATGACCAGGTTTCGTTTTAGATCGCTACGAAGTTCTAATGTATAGCTTTAAGTCTGCATGTTCATTTGCATTGTTTAACGGATCTTACAACAAATCGCTAGTTTCTGCTGGCAGGTCTATATATGCTTCTGTTATTGATAAATGTATGAATTCATAACAAGAATTGCCTTGATTCTGTGCTATTTCTGGATGTGATGTTGGTAAGAAGATTAACTGAGTTTAATGCACATATTCCAGTCGCTTTATTTTTGACATAGTTACCGTCTCTGAGTCGTAGCTTTGCTTCACTGTAGTGGTTAAAATTAACTCACATATCATCCCTCTGATTTGATATACATGTTGTCTTCAAATTTTTTCATCAAACAATTTTACTTCATAGTGTAGTTTCTATAACACTTTGCATATAATTCCCAATTTCCAGTTGTCTTTTGTTAAGTAGTCACGCACCGCACGAATTTAGGTTTGTTCACATTTCTTCCCGGTTGTTAAAAATTTAGAGCGATTTCTCGATT